CTATCCCATGCATGGGTCTTGCCTCCTGATACTCCCAGACTGGCCAGCATGTCATTTCACAAGCCCCTCTGCTTTTCCCTTTTCTGAGACTGTTGGTTTGAGGAACCACTGGTATGCGCCATAGTAGACCACCTGCTGTTACCACTGCATTATGGCTGATTTTCTCATGCAGTGAAGGTGCTAAAGTGGGGTCCTGTCCTTTGCCATCCTCAAGGTACATAAACCACTCTTCATTCTTGCCAAAATGGAAAGACCCTTTCTCCTCCTTTAATAGACAAGTATCAGGTATGTGGATTCATGTAAAGTTAAGTCAGAACACGAGTTTAAGTAACAGTTCCATGGATTCCCCTACCCCACAGATATAAGAGGTACTGTCATAGGCAAAGTGGGATTTTTATGATTTAAGACTCTTATTGGAAAACTCTGAAGTCCTACAGATAATCAAATAATTCTACAAGTTTGCCAAATATGTGTGAATCCCAGTACTGAGTAAAATGGAGCCTTCTCTGGTCCTCTCTCCTCCTATATTTCCTTTTCCCTCGCCTACTGCTCACAAAGACACAAGTAAACTAATGCTTTGCACAGTGCCTGGAATATGGTAGTCACTTAATAAACACAAGAACTTCTTCTGTTCTATACTCACAGTTCTTTGCACACAGTAGGTAGTCAATAAATACACTTTTACAAATGAATATCTGGATTTCTGTTATATAAGAAAAATGGAAATATCTCTAATAAGATTGTAACCATTTAAACTTGGACTCTAACCCAACCTTCTCCAACTGTTAATTGTCTTGTTGTTAATAATATGCCCCTAAATATAGACCATAGTGCAGTGGGTATGTGTGTAAATAATTATCCACATGTCAGATAGCTTTCTTTCTGCCTAGACACTTTTTTGAAACATTTCCAGTTGTGTTAAAACTTGTTTATAACTTATGAATGCAAAATGCCCCTGACTTTCTATTCTAAACCCAGGAAAGGATCCGAACATCTCTGTAATAATATTTTGTGTTTTTTTCCAATTCTAAAATGTTCATATTTGCAGGTTTTTGTGGATAAAATAACATAAAGACAAGAACGAATTTTTATTTTCCTCCAGTTTTATAGTTGTATAATTGACAAATAAAAATGTTATGCATTTAAGGTATGCAAAGTAATGTTTTGATACACATATATGTTTTGAAATGATTCCTACAACCAAGTTAATTCATCACAGGGTTACCATTTTAAGTTTTAAGAACACTTAAGATCTACTTTTTCATTGAATTTCAGGTATACATTATTATTAACTGTAGTTAATATGTTGAAGTCCAGAACTTATTCATATGTAACTGAAATTTTATACTTCTTGACCAAAATCTCCCCATTTCTCCACCCCTGGCCTATGGCAACCACATTTCTACTCTTTATGAGTTCATCTTATTTAGAATCTACATATAAGTGAGGACATGCAGTATTTGCCTTTCTGTGTCTGACTTACTTGACTCAGCAAAATGTCCTCAAAGATCACCCCAGTTGTCAGAAATGGTAGGGTTTTCTTTTGGGGATCTGAATAATATTCTGCTGTAAATATTATCACATTTTCTTTGTCCATTCCTCTGCGGGAAGACACACTGTTTCAGTTCCTTGGCTGTTGTGAGTAGTGCTACAGTGAATGCAGGAATGTATCTCTTCCAAGATACTAATTTCAGTTCTTTTGGAGATAGACCCAGAAGTGTGATTGTTGGGTTCATTTTTAGTTTTTGAGGAACCTCCAAACTGTTTTTTGGTACCAATTTGCAATCCCACCAACAGTGTACAGGGCTCCCTTTTCTTCACATGCGTAAGAATTTTTATTATTTTAGAAATGAGAACCTGAATATGAAAAATCGTGACTTGCCTGCATCCATGTAGGAGCCTTGCTTCCTCCTTGCTGCAAAGCTGGGATCCTTTCAGAAGTCATGTGCCAAGTTTCCAATCCCTTATTATCATTTGTGTTTCATGGACCAGTAATCATTCCCAATCCCTGAAATCAGGGTAGACTGACACACTCTAGGTCTGGTTAGGGATAAGGGAATTAAAGTAATTATGATGTAAGCAGGTTGGTATTTATGCTAATGCTTCCTACAAAATGCTGCCTGGAGAAGGTGAGTTGACATAAGGCCGCATGCCCAGTGAGTTCTCATTAAACATTTAAAGGATGAGAATTCAAGAAGATTGGCAAATTTATGGGGGAAAGTAATTTGAAAGTGCTAGCTCAATGGCATATTTAGAGGATAGAAAGATGAAAAGGCTATTGAATTTGGGATGAACTTATAAGAGCTGATCCCATAGGTGGGAAATGGGAATGCCCTTGTTTCTCTCCCTGATTGCATTTTTTCACATTCCTTTTACACATCATGACATCTTGCTTGGGATTAGCATGTTGACTCTTTTTTCTTACTCTGCTGGAATGCTAAGAGAAAATTGGTGAAGTTCTGTATCACAGTGAGAAGGATGTTTCTGTAAGACCTAGACCAGAAGCTTCAGTGCCACTTAGTAGATGTGCCTGCTGGAGGATAAACTAGAAAGAAGACAGGTTGGACATTTCCACTGCTAGCTCTGTCCTCTGGGAAGTTTCCTTGCAGAAGCAAGGGCCTTAGTGTTGTTCCTCATCTGTAATATTGAAAGAGTGCCGACGGGGTTGTTATGAGGTTCAGATGAGACAGTTAATGTAATAGTGCTTGGTGAAGCGTAGGCTGGTACACATGTTATGTAAATAACAGGCTTGTGCCACTGTTTGTCACTTGCTGCACTAGATTCCATCACCATGTTGAAAATACAGTAGAGTCAACAAAATCAGTTTTGTCCTCCTCTTGAATTTAAATCCTGTGCAATACTGTGTGTGTATTCATATCTGTTTCTTCATTGTTGAAAAGGTACTTGCAACTGAAAATGATTTCCATCACTGGAAATCGCTGGAGTTGTTTCTGTGATACCAAGTTTGTCCTGAGTTAACAGCATTAGTGAAAACCATCCTACTAAGCATTTCAACCATTGCAATCAAACAGGAATAAGATGGTCTGGAGACACAATGGCTTAAACTCTGAGCACCAGCTCAGCAAGGAAGTCAGCCAGGAGAAGCCGGAACTCATAGACTTGGTTTAAGTGAATGGTTCGGGGACCTGAGAAAGGAGAGAGATCAGTAAAGCCCACAGCCAGCCAAAAGGTTAAGCTTGCAAGAGATAACACTAGACATGAAGTGAGCCAGTTGGGGAGTAAAAGGGAGGGATCAGAAGCAGTGTGCAGGACTTCCCATAAGACCATCTACTGATCACAATCATTCTGTCCCCCTTGCCATTGATAGGCTGTACAAGGACTGAAGCAGCATTTCTCTTTAGTTATTTTCTATAGCAAAAATGTCAGGAAAGCATAGATCAATTACCAACATCCAGTATCCAGGTTTGAATGGCCCAGGTGAAATTGCCCCGACTGATGGACACCAGCCAGAGGAAGGAGCCTTTCCCTTGGACCACACTTACATATCTGCACCACCACACTGGGAGTCATTCAGGATGATGACCAAGACTGCCTTTCACTCCTTCCTGTGCAGAACTCCTTGGGAGTTTCCATGTAGAAAATTCCTAAATCTTCCTTTCCATCAGCCCTTGAACTCTTGGGGCATCTGAGTACAAAATGTCTGTCACCCCAAATTCTGAATCAGTATAATCAGTATGATTCTTACCCAGTTTAGAGAAATATTTCACTTTTAAAAATCCAGTGCTGTACCAAATAGTGCACGGTGCTTGGTAGGGAGAGGTGTTTATCACTGAAACAATTGAGAAATGTCAGTATGTGGTGGTAATAAAAAGCAGATTAGCTTTCAGTTGGGTTTAGAATTCTCTACAGGCAGTATACTCCCTTATTGCCTGTTCCTAAGGCAGATCCCCGACCTTGGAATCGCATGTCTGAACCCAGATTTTTGAAACAATTGCTTTAAGATCTTTTCAGGGCTAGAGTGGGAACATCAAAATGGTCCTTAATTTTTTTTTAAAAGGATTCTCTTAAATCAGAATGATTAAATCTGCTCAGTTTACATTCATCAAGTATTCAGAGTACTGCTAGATTAAGGACCTGTGCTAGATAACAGAACTGCAGTGATCCACAAACTGCTCCATGCCTGCTAGAAGTTCAAACATTTAAACAACTAGATTCTCCTGAAGCTGTTTATTTGTTCATTTATTTAAAAAATTATTTACCAAGTACTTAGTACATGCCATTTCCTATACTACATATTGTAGATAAAGTTAACAAAAAAAGTACTTCATGCAGCTTCCAGTCTCCCATCTATGTGAACCTCTCTTATTTAAATAACTCATATTCCTCAAATTCAGTCACTTAATATTCCCTTCATGATATTTTCTACATTGGTATATCAAAATTACATTATTGAGATTTTCTTTCAATTTATTCATTTTAAATTTAAAATCTTTCAAATGCTTTATCTGTACTATAAGTAGATAAATGGAAACTCCTAAGATATGGGATAAATACAAGACATGTAAATATAAATGCATTGGAAAAAAATCCTATTAACTAAATTCTAGATGAGTCTTGTAATCTGTTATATCTAAGTTAGTTAAAAGAGAGATCAACAAAGGTTATAGACATACTTTGACCACAATGGGATTTTTCCATGAACTAATCAGAATCACTTGCAAGGAAATGGCATTGTTACTGCGTACCTCGGTGTGTCTCCATTTCATTCCTTATTCCACCTGTCAGTCTTGTGTGCCCATAGTGTGCCTCACACTCTGTCAAGACCTGTACAAGGCTGTTGGCTTACAAACTGGCTTTCTATGGAGAAATCTTTTTGGTTGAAGGCCTGGAATTGCTTAAATATCATGGAATTATGAGCCTAATTTCAATTTATTTTCTCCTCCTCTAAGTAATCTATATACAACACATTTTCACTGTCTTTGTAGCCATCTTAATATCTTTATCATCTTTATTTTTTCCCCATTTACTGTAAAATGCAGAGTCCTGGATTTTTGGTCATAGATTGGCAGCCTGGAACCCAGCAGAAGCCCAGACTCCTAACAGTAAGGAATGGATATTTTGCTATTGCATCTTTTGTATGGAATGACACTATTATTTGATTTAAATTTGAAATTGGGAAATTCATTCTTCTTGGGGAGTATTTAATCCAATCTTGGTTTTTGCTTCAAAATGGTGTTAGATGTGCTTGACTATTTAATGTTTCAGATTGGATTCTTTTTAAAAAAAATTTTTATTTGTTCTTTTTAGTTATATGTGATCGTAGAATGTGATTTGACATATTAAACATACATTGAGTATAACTTTCCATTTTTGTAGTTGTACATGATGTGGAGTTTCACTAGTTGTGGATTCCTATATGAACATAGGAAAGTTATGTCAGATTCATTCTACTGTCTTTCCTATTCTCATCCCTCTCCATTCCTTTCATTCCCCTCTGTCTAAACCAATGAACTTCAGATTGGATTCTTTATTTAGTGTGGATCAAAATTCAAGTTTGTTATTTTTGAAGCTCTCTTTGTCAAAGTAGAAAAATACAACAGGAGGAAAATAAATAATAAAAGCACAGCTTAAAACATACAGTTTGAATAAAAATCTAGGTCAGATTGTTGCATGCTGTACAATGAAAACCTTTCACAGGGTGTTTTCAAATTTCATTGAATGTAAATTGTGTTCTTTCAATAATCAAATATATCTACTATAAGGGTCCTGTCTGGTGGACAGTTCAAACAGCAGGGCAAGTTGTCCGGTGTCTGTGGAGGGAAATAATGCTGATATTTGATGGACAAGAGACAGGAAAGCAATGAAGTGCCAACGAGAGGCTGTCAATTGATTGGGACAAGTGACTGCTTTGCGATGTGGATGTTAGAAGGACAGGGTCAGTGAAGCACACAGCCCCATGCAAACATAGGCATGCTGCACAGTGCATGGACTTCATAGTGACTGTGAATGCCTATATAGACGCCTTGAGACACTCAGAGCCTGTCATAGTCTTTGTCTTGAAAGCATTGCTTAACCCGTGGAGTCAGTTAGGTTATTCCCTGTAAATATATCTCTAAGATTCTAGTTTTAACTAGTCCCTTCATCCCACAAAAGGTGGGGATTTTCTAATCCAGGACTTATTTTTGGATTAAGTCACTTGTTACTTTTTGAAAGTTCTGATATACACTTTGCTTAAACTTACAACTATTCAGTGATCCATATGAAAATATTCAGAAGTATACTCATCCTCCATGTCCTAACCGATTCTATGAGAAAAGACTGCTGCTTTAGCACACATGACCCTTTATAATTTATGTCTCCTTTTATGGGGGTCTTCACAACTGAAAGTTTAATTCTCAGAAAGAGGCTGATTCACCATGAGATGGCAGTAGAGAGTGGGCTTGGCAGGAGGCAGAGTAGGGCTGGGCCTGGTGGGAGGAGTTAGACTGCTCATTTGATTTGCTCCTTCAGTTTTATTAGATGTTTTCCTAGAAAGAGGACTGGGCATGACTGTTAAAGTCCCCGGAGTAACACCCAAATTTAACAAAAGTGCATTAGAAGAAAGGGGGACGGTTTCTGAAATATGCCAACCCAACGAGACACTTTTGCCAGGCTACATACACATATCATACACACTTGGATAGAGACTCAGACATACGCAGAGAGAAGGAGCCTTGGAGAGGGAAAAGCCTGAAGAATTAACAGGAGAAAGAAAGGGAGCAGAGAGAGAGGAGAGAAGAAAAAGAAAGTGCAATGAAAGAAGAAAGGCACAAATTTTTATCACTGGAAAGCAAAGCTAAGTGAGAGCATCAGACAGACAGAATGCAATTATGACTGATGGGGAGTCACTGAAGACAACTGAATTTTGAGACCACATTACTTTGACTTTGCCTTATCCATCCTTAAAGGAACCAAAGTGCCACTGGAACAGACACTGGGGTGAATTCTACTATCCTATCCCTTTGGAGAGCCTGTCTTGTATGGAGAAATCAGACTGTGTTACAGATAGACAACATTTTTAAAAACTGCCACCCCCAAAATGGCATGTTTTACTCAAAGTTGCACCGCTAGCTATTGGCAGCATTAGGATTAGAAACAATTTCACTTGTCCTCATTATCAGTTAGACCATCCTTTCTAAACCCCAAGAGTGGGGGCAATTTGATATTTTCTCCCAAACAGAAAAGATATTAAAAGAATCTGAAACTTAGCTATTCTCATATTTCTTAATTAATATTTTGACCTAGGAGACAAAATTGGGGCCACAGGGGAGTATAGGGTATCATCTCTGATTGCCTAGTAAGTTAATATGGTAATCATGGCAATTAACAGAAGATTGTTGAGTAATTTTATCCTTAGAAGGTACCTTGGCAGTTATGTATTGCTCTCTTAGCTCTTATTTTTTTCCTAAGTAGGAAGTCAGAAATAGGATGCCAAATGGCATAGCATACTGTGTTCCAACTTTTCTTATTTTAAAGGAAAATCTTTTATGGAAACCAAATATGTAAAAACTATAAAACAAATCTGAGATAATGAGGATGCTAACTTGTGATAATGAGGATGTTGCTTGTTTCCTAACCATGTTATTATTCTCCACCATCCAAAATGGCCCCAGGGTTGTATTGGAGGAATGTGAGTGCCTTGATATAGTAGAAAGAACTGGGGCTTTGAAGCTAAAGACACCTGGAGTCAATCTTGCTTCCATCTTTTATCATCTGTATGACATTGATCTTGTGATCTGTGTCTCTTGCTTTCTTATTAGCTTCAAATTCATCACCTAGAAAATATCAATGACATTAATATAATAAAGTGGAATGGAGAATTAAATGAGACACACATACATAAGGGAGAGCTAGGTAAAGAATGGATCTGAAAATTGTTAAAGTGGAAAATGTCGATTTGATGATTGGAACTGAACTCTGCAGTGTAAGGTAGGAGGTCGAATCACTTTTATAGCTTGAATGTGCTTTTGTTCTGTCAAGGACTACTTACCTGGTTGCTTAGTTCTATAGACAAAGAGTAAATGAAGATACATTTCTCTGGAGAGAGCTGAAGAGTACATTTTTTTCCCCTTGTCTAACCTTTCAAATACTAACCTAGCATTTGAAACTGTAAGTGAATAAAGTTTGACAATGCCCTGTTCCTGTAAGAGTCATGGTGTTTGTGCAAAGAGAGAGATTTGTGTTCTACCTTAGATGAGCCTGAGGCAGGGGGAAATCTTTTGCTAATCCTTCTGGCAGCCTTAGGGATGGGGACAAGCATGGGAAGAAGCAGTGGCCTCAGGATCACAGCTTGCTGTACCTGCTAATCACTGGGCCCTTTCCCTTGGCTGCTTGTAGAAGGAACTTTGATTTGGGTCCAAACTCAGTGATGGATAAAACCTGGGATTTGTGGAACCCAGTAGACCCTTGAGAATACCAGGCCAAATCAAAGAGTCAGCACCACAGTGCGAGTCTTTGGCTGAGCCAGGGAGGTCCTGGGGCCAAGAGACACCAAGGCCAACCTTGGAAAGATCCACATCACAGGTTGAATCCGGTCATCACGCTCAAGTCCCTTGGTGCTCATTAAACAGTCTGAAGGAAAGAGCATCTCCAGCTGCTTTCTCATCCTTCCCGAGGATATCTGTATGTAAAATAGAGATTTGGTATCAACATTTGTGCCTCTTCATAAAGTATGAACTTGAATTTTTTATGCATCAGAGAATTGGGGTTAATGCTCAAAAAGAAAGCTTCTTATAAAGGAAAGCTAATGACATGTGGCTCTGAACGGATTTCAGAAACATGTCTGCCAGCCTGCCTGAGGTCCCCTGAAAGGAAAACGATTGTTCTGATTGTCAGAAAACTATGAAAAATCATGACTATACTGCTAGAAACTCAACTTTTTTTCCCCTTTTTTCTTTAACCCCCAAACTCTTCTTTTCCCTGTTGGTCTCTTAAGCTATCCATTAGTGACCATTTTGTAATGGTGACTTTGTAATCTTCCTATTCTGGCTTGTGCATAGAAAGAAAGAACTTGCTGGCGAGCTTGTGGATCTGGAGAGGCCATGCCTTCCCCAGCTGGCTGGGAACGCCGGAAGCCTGGGAAGGCTGTCCACAGGCTGTCTGGCAAGGGCAAAGGAAGAGACAAGGAGGAGGAGGCTTAATTCCTAGCTGACTGGACCTGGGAAGGTGGCCTCCTTTCCCTTGGCTCATGAGGCAGAAGAGAAGGCCAAGAATTCTGGCTTCGTTCCTGTCAGCTTGTCGCCTTGCTTTTAGGCCCGCGAGGTGAACTGAGTCTGGAAAAAGCTGAGGGCCGCCTGAGACAGGCTTATGGCTGAGCCATGAGGAAAACAAGCCTTCCCTGATGCCACTGGGGTCAGAAGGACTTAGCCAGAACCCTCTCTCCTTTCTACTCAGAGAAGTTGATTGAAGGATAAATAGCCTAATTAGTTGTAGAATGTCTGCCCACTACTTGAGAGCTTTCTTCTTTGTTCCCATAGAACTACTGTAAACAAACTACCAACATTTTTATTTCTAGGTAATGCAAACTTTATTGCACAAGAGCCATGTGGCATTAAGTGTTAAACTTAGGAATATGTGTAGGTATACATATATATAATACATATATATATATATATATATATTTGCAGCAGATGTTACCTTGACTCCAAAATGTCTCTTAAAATATGACGCTTCTCAAAGAATCTTATGTGACCTCAATGAAATGCTCATTTATGTAGCATCACTTTAGTAGGTGTTGGCTTAATTAAAGCCATTTAATACCTTATGCCAGTTGCTACATGCAAACAAGTACTCAGTTGTAATCATTTTTGTTTTCCCAAAATAGAGTATTTAGGCAAAGGCAGTAATAAGCAGAAGATGATCCCTTTGTCCCCTGTATTCCTAGGCCTTTTAGTAATTAGGCAGGTGCTATGACCAATTCTGGACAATGCTCTGTGAAGAAAGTGATCTGTGTGCTCTTTCCAGAGAGTGAAAGCCCAGATACAGTTTTTAATGACTTTATGATATGACAATACAGCATAGTTTCATGGTAATCTATAGGCATGTCTTCTAGATGGTGTAGCTT